ATTTTCTTTTAAATAATGGCCTGCATTTAACTGTTTGTGTACGCTGCTCGTCTTCAGATCGATATCCTGCAGAAGACGACGGACATGTACGAGCAGGACAAACGTACACTTCAGCAGGAGCTGGAGACCCGGGAGCACAGGCTACAGAGCGAGCTGTCAGAGAGGAAGCGCATGGAGCAGCGCATGCAGGGCGCGGTGACGGACACCAGACTCAAGTGGGAGAAGGAGTGTGTAAGTTGTTCACTGTTTTGAGCCATTAGGATATCAGGTATTGTAAATTATTTTTCTGCAATCAAATGTTAATTTGCACAATTATAAGTTATATTTTACAATTGCATTTCAAATATGCATTGAGAGCCCTACTGTTTGGAAACATTTGTATGGGTACACACGGAGATTAACCCACATTATCTACCAAAACATGAACAGTGCAATGTAATTATACCAAATTATACTAAACTCCACTTGGTAATGTCCCTCAGATCGTTAATGTAAGTTTGTAATTCCAATTGTTAGATATGAAACGATCAAATAAGACTTTAAATATTTTCTTGTCCATGGTTTCTGATTAGGAGCGACGGGTGAACGCAAAGCAGCTGGAGATGCAGAACAAGTTGTGGGTAAAGGATGAGAAGCTGAAGCAGCTGAAGGCCATAGTGACGGAGAGCAGCAGCGGTGGCAGCGCTCCCACTGAGCGTCCAGAGAAGCCTGAGAGGCCCTCAAGGGAGAGAGATCGAAACATCCAACAGAAGAGGTCTCCCTCTCCATCACCGCTTTCTGTGAGTTATTTGCTGCTGCTGCATGTTTCGCCAATGTGCACCTAATCATTTTGTCAATCCGATTGAATCAGCATGTTTCTAATCATTGTGAAAATCATGAGCAGGCATCCTGACATGTATATGCTTACTGGTTACATCACTTTGTTTTCTACTTTGTCTGTTGCTCTGTTGTGAATTTGTGTTAATCTGGAGCACCTAACATCCACAATACCTCATCCCTTTCAGGATTTCAGCCAAACTCCTTCCCACCAAAATAAAGCCAGAGTTAGGGTGTTTCAGGACCCCACCTCCACACCATCCTCCTCTGACTATACTTCAGTAGCCTCCAGCATCTCTAGGTGGGAGCAGAGGTTCCCTGTAGATTCAGGCAGCCAGAATAGGTTCACCGGGACTCCCCAATGCAGGAGCCGGACTCCGGCCACATGCCACAGCACCAGCAGTGTGGGTCACAGGAGAGGCCAGCGCAGGGCCCCAGGCACTGAGGTCCCTGCCACCACTCTTGTCTATGGACTAGACCTAGAGGCAGGCACAAGGGTCAGTGTGTGCTAGAACCTAGATGTTCATCTCTGTGATCCTGTAGTTTAAGCTTCACTTTGGTGTAGAACTGCATCTGTAATTCCAACAGCTGTCGCCTTGTTTAGAAATACATTGAGTAGCAGCATCAGTGTAGACTGGTGTGTCTCCTGTCCTCGCTCTTAGGCAGACTGATCTGTCATGCTTGGAAATCTTCTTGGCTTGCATCTTAAGGCTCATGAGTATTTACATCATGTTTGTAGATCTTTCTTTTTCTGGATGCAAACTGCTCTCTAGAAATGCTTTTTTTTTTTTCTTCTTCTTCTTCTTGTACTTCAGTAGCATCATGTAAAATGGCATAAACATGGTATTGCTATTGAAATGAACAGAAACATCTTTGTTCAAAAAAAACAAAACACCGGTGAGTATTAATAGTCTAGGGTCTAGGCCGTCGACAACGGTCCTCCGGAGTGCTCGGTCTTGAG